CCAAAAAAACTTACTGGTTCTTTCAAAACGACCTCCTCGGGAGTGTTACTGATGTGAATGATGATTTGATCCGTAATGCATCGTTTGATAGGAATCGTCCTCGAAGTCCGTGATGTATGCAGTTTTGTCGTCGTTATTACTTGAAGCAAACCATGAGTCGTAACGTGTAAATTGATGAGTCATAGAATACATAATGAATGAGGTTTAAGAGAGAGAGATGCGAGTCGTTGACGAGACACGTCGAATCAATATTGACGTGTCGTATTGATATTGATCACTCACGTGTTCTCGAAAATCACATCCAAGATCTGACATTTAGCAGGTACCGTCTTTACATGCTCGTGTTTCATTAAGATAACTATCTAAACCTATTCTACAGTAGTAAAAACACCCCCTTTACAGTACTCGCCTAACGATTTTACGATGATTTGAGGCCACTGGCGAGGAACTCAAAACGTGTCGCTCGTAACTTCATGTGGCTATGTATTAAGGTTTTTTTGCTTATCTAATGTTGAGCTCTGTGTTCGGGATTTTGCGAACGCACACCTCTTGCCCCTTCCCATGACCAATTTTTCCCAGGACCGACGTGAGCGGAGGATGACATGTACATTGCCGACACGGGAGTGTACTACTTGAAGACTCATCGCTATAGGTCACTTTATAACAGGTCGCATCTCCCTCCTCCCACCATGAGCATTAGTCTCTCTTCACTCTTCTGTTTCACGCCATGGCTTCATTCTATTCCACTCAGGTACGATTTTAAAACTTAGGAATCCTTGCCGTATGTCTCAACTACGCCGCCCTTTCTAGTCATATGCGATTACTGACCTAAGAGCACTCGAACCCCTCCCCGAAGCCCTTCGTTCCACGTCCCTTGTAATGAGGGTGCTCTGTTTTTTGGCACTTGGACGCCCAAATCTTGATGATCATTGGAAGTCGCTGCAATCAGAACAAGCCTTCGAAACCGTTAGGAGCAGGTTGTGCTCCATCCTGGCCAGCACTATCACCACGGTAAGCTATCCGACTCCGCACCTGTCGCGAACTGAAGCCTACGCTGACATGCTCTCATGAAGGCAAGTGTCCTCCTCGCTATAAGCGGTGTTTTCGTCAGTACGGCCTCTCCTGTGTCGTACTTTGACTACACATCGCCCGTTTCCTATTGTCTGCTCTTTATATCGCTCATGCTCGCCATGATCGCGATGTTGACGTCTGGCTCGAGCATGATATGTTGGCTGCACGCCGATCGGCACTGGACTCAAGAAGTAAGTTTGATTCTCGCCATACTGATCACCCCGGCTGACCTAAATATGATCAGCAACTCAAGCAAGGCGACTACTTCGTCTTGTCCTACCTGTTGTCTATAGTCACGCCTATATTCTTCGTCGCTTTGTCCCTACATTGCTTCATATTTGGTGAGTTGTTCCGTCAAATGATGCTTTCTCTGGTCCCTCATGCATTCCATCCAGCGATGTTGATAGCAGGCTTTTCCTCTCAAAGCATGATCTGCCGCGCCGTCACTGCGCTCTGGCTGGTCGCATACGCTGTCAACGTTGGGACGATTTTGATGGAAGCTATGTGGAAGTATGCGACAAGCCTCAATCACGCTGGATAACGTCAGTAGTTTCCAGTTCGCTCCTTGTTTCGTCCGCAGTTTGTATATGTTGTATATAGCCTCGAGCTCCGCACAAAGGTGATCAGAATATAGACGAGTATATGTATGTAGTCTGGCTTTCAATGATAGCTCCACTTCCCGAATCTCTCGACCCAAGACTACCCCAGTGGGGGACTGTCTTTGTTGTAGATCTCGATACACACATGAAAAACTCACAGAAAGCAATCGCAAAACCAAAAGTCAAGAAGGTGAAGTCTACAAAGGTCAAAGAGCTTAAAATGTCTCTGACTCCAATAATTACCTTTATCGACTTCCTCTCAATTGAACATTCACTGAGAAAAAGCGGTACACCTGCCAGTGTGTACGACTGGTACAAAGCTGTAAATGAAGTAAACCTTGTTCACTTCCGAATCGATGAATCAATTTCCTTTTCATCTTTCGCAGCTTCCCCATCGAACATCAACATTTCCGGGTCCGAAGTTTATATATCGGTAATATGATTCATGAAGATGGCACGTCATTCTCAATCTTGCTCAAGAGCACGAGGAGAGATATCCTTGTGGCTGTAATGTAGCCTGTGTATGGTGCGGAGAAACATATGTACAGATAAGCACCACGACTTTCCTGTTACTCACGCTGTAGCCCGTCCAGGCGCCCCGATGGTGGGATTTCGGTGTAATATTATGCTCAGTCCATTGTTTGCATCGGCTTGCGAGAAGTCACGTGATCTCCATCGTACCCTGATAAAAAAAAGGTCCCTGAAATTTCATCAAAAAACAAAAAATTAAAGAACAAAAAGCATCAGGTACTAAAACGAAAGCAAAAGTAAAAGCAACAAAAAATACCACTCCAAAAACATTAACGATCGTGACTGCATGATATCATGGCCCGGACCTAAGTAATTCCCAACCCTCTACGTCCAAAGCCCAGATCGGTCGTACCACCTCTATCCAACACTTCTACCCATGACATGACCCCTACGTGGGTAGGTCAAAGCGGCGTCGACTCGGCATTCTATGATGACGGCCAAGTCTCAGAGCACTCCTTGAGTTCTTCTTCCACAGCTTTCCGGCCTGCAGAGGTAAGAACGGGTATTCCAGAACTGATATCTTTCTCGAAATACTGGGGTATAAATCTGCGTTTTTTTGAGTCCGTTAAATAAGCGGTCGATTCAGCAAGGGAAAGAAAACTCACTGAACACCTTTCCTCTTCCTCTCACCCGCCTCATCCCTCTGCTTCTGCTCAATTGCAAGTTTTGCCTTCGTAGCCTCCCCATACTCCTTCGCAAGTAGCCTCGTCGTCACACCATCCCACAACTTTCTACTCTCATTTGGAAGTTGCCTTTCTAGCGGGCGAACCTTCTTCGGGACCACGAAGAGCGTCGAAAGATCTACGAGCGTCGCGTATTCCGTCTCTGATAACGAAGGGGCCGAAAAACTTGACGTCGATGGGGATGATGCTGCTGAAGATGTAGATGGAGCAGGGGGAGATGCAGCAGTCCGCCGCCACCGTATATGATTCCGCCAGCATCCGTCAAAGACAGCTACGACCCGAGCCGTGGGGACGTGTTTCACTTTCGTCCATTCTACGTGTTCTGTAGATCCTTCGTTGTATGTGTGTATCACACCTTCGACTAGAAAGTGTGCGCGGCCTAGCCATGACTTGTCCCATCGTCAACACTGGTCCCATCACGATCCCCTATTACCGGGGGGAAGAGAAACGCACCTCTTCTTTATACTCAATCACAGCCCGATATGCTACTCCCTTCGCACCCACACAAGTAACGATCGTGCTATCCCCCACAGTGATATAAAAGCTCCCCCTCAAGATCCCATTTACATTAGCCACCGGGTGCGTGATGTGGTACTTCTCGCCTATGCCCGGACCCGATGTAAGATTGATGTAGATGCCCTTGTTGAACGACCCTGGGGCGACGCGCACGGCCGTACCGCTCACTTTTGCGCTAATCTGGTCGATGCCTGCCATCTCCACCCCACGCGAGGGACATGAGGCATAGTATGCGCTTACGGGGGGGTGGTGCGATACTTGTTCTGTTACATATACGACCCGGATATGGTCCTTGTCTTTATCCTTGTCCTTGCCCTCGTTCCTTCCACTCCCACTTCCGTTAAGAGGAGACAACGAGAGTTTGGAAAGACCGGCATCGCCGAGAGATGAAGGAGCTGTACTTAGGGTCGGGGATATCTTGTCCTTGGAGGTAGAAGTGAGGCTGAGGCCACTACGCGTGCTCTTTGAACTCTTGCCGCTGCGATTACTCTTCACGCTCACTGTCTCGCCTCCTTGTGCTAGGGTTACCTGGGAAGGGGGGACACTGGTATGGACGCGGAGGACGGGGGGTTGAGTCGGATCCGAACTGTAGGAAACCGGGGGGACGTCCCAATGACCGCGGAAGTGCTCGCCTAGAACGCTGTTGTAGGGTTTGCAGACTTTGCCATGCTGTGTGAGAAATCAGTGGGAAGGTGGTGTTAGGGGGTGAGCAGGTTGGACGTACGACGAATTTAAGGTCCTTTGTGAATATGAAACGTACGACTGCCAAGATGCGCTCGAAGGGATCGTTGGAATCATTGATACTAAATTAGCACGCCCATCAGCATAGATAGCGAATGCCCACAGGTGCCCACAAAGGGAAATAACGAAGCAAGAAGTAGTACTAATACTCACGCAGCGAACAGGTCAGGTCTGTCGAGATAATGCCAATATTCAAGATTTGGAAGGGGCTCTAGAAGACTTGCAGGTAATGACAGTCGCCTAACAGGGACCAACGATTAAATCAGTGGTAGGTTTCATGCAGAGAGAAAGTAACGGACATGGCAGCGATATCCTTGACCCCCAGACACTTCTTGACGAGCTGAACGATCATGCTCAGTTTTCCGCCTTCGCCTACGTCGCCTGAGTCAGGGAGGGAGATGGTTGGGCCTGGGGCTTCTGAATCGTCGTCTTCTAGGACTTCGCCGGAGGGTATCTTGATGATTGCTTCGTCAGCCATTGTTGACAATGATCTTCTTGATCTTGATTATTGTTCTCGAGTGTTGTAGATGAAGGAGGGAAAGAAAAAGAAAGAAAAAGTAAAGGGATTATGTGAAATTGTCACGTTATGTGGTTGGACACTGTGGTGTTGGAGCTCGATGAGAGAAGGAAACACGTGCGTGCGTTGGATGATATTACTGTATGGGCGCTTATTTACAGGATAACCCTCAGATCCTCAAGTATTCAATTCGCAATTCGCAAATCCAGCATGCACAAAAGGATAAAGGTAGTATCCATACAAGGAATGTAGCAACGCCTCCATGCAACCCTCATTCGGAACGCGTGATTTATTGCGAGCACGGAGCGCCGCTTCTAGGGTAATGGGTATTGGCTAGAAGGTCTCTGGCTAGTGCCATCACTGAAAGAAGCATCACCATAACCATGCCGATACTCGTCTCAGCTGACGCCTGTTTACATCGTGGGGAACAGAGATGAAACCTTATTCGACTCGCCAAGAAGCAACCGATACCGGGTTGAGGAAGGTCGGATCTTACACTCTAGTGATGTATCTAATTTACCTGGAATCACCGTATCAGCTGAATAAAAATACCACAGGAACGAGACTCACCAATAGTACAAAGTACAGGATAGACTGCGCATCAAATATGATCGTGACACTCAAGGACTCACAGGGGTAACAAACAACCCCTTTAGAGACTCTATCGCCAACCTCGCGCTCATCCTCAACTTCCCCTCCTCACCACCCCCAGCATCAGCAAACCCAAGCCCCATCTTCAGCGCCGCCCTTTGTACCGCCTCATCTGCTCTCCCGGCATCTCCTTCCCTCTTCTTTCTTGCCCACCACCTTACCGCGCGTTCGCGCAACTCGGGGTTGCGCATGACAGCAGCACGTGTGTATTTCAAGAGATGTGCGCGGGGGATGGAACGCTCGAGGTGTGCGAGAGCTGGGGCGAGGGACATGCTGGGTGGTCCTGGGTGCTGTACCTCTGGGAGAAACTGAGTAAGGATTGGAAGGAGGAGGAATAGCACTTGGCGTGTGAATTGGATGTTGTCGTGCCACTGTGCATACCGAGTTGGACTGTGAATGATGCCTGAAAGTGAGAGACACATACCATAAAGACTCGGGTTCCGTCTTTAGGGAGTGGAGCTGCGCTGAGGGAAGCTAGGACGTAGCACTCTGCAAGGGCTGCGCATATTAACACGCCTAAAACATACCCCCTCCATCTATCTCTCCGATTTTGGCTGGAAGTAAGTAACAGCAGCACTGCAGCAGTTCGGACATAGGCGAGAAGGATGCCTGCGAATACAAAGAGGGCATAATCAGCCGCAGAGGTGCATGGAGCGCATGTCTGCAGCGCCCTTTGACCAAACCTATAAGTGGTCATGAATTTGCAATGCATGAGAAATAAGGAAGGAACGCACCGAACAAACCATCCCCTCGATTCATCTGTCTTGAGGCGACTTAGTAAAAGTTCGATATCGGGTGGCATTTGCACGGGCACTGCGAGTCCACCATCTCCTGCTCCTGCTGCAAACCCAGCTTCTGATAGTAGCAAATTACGAATATGTTCAAGGGGGAGAGTGAGAGGGATACGTAGGCGGGAGAAGAGGTTTTGTGGAGGTTGGATTAGAGCGTATAGGGAGTATAATGAATGGAGAAGTACGATAATGCTGCGTTTATGTATATAGAACCATCCCAAAAGTATGAGGAGGGACGTGAAGAAAAGTGTTTCAATGGGGCTCATTACAAGACAAGCTTGGAACACAGCATTCGTCGCAAACAACAAAGTCTAGACCGTTTCGGCCTCACCCGTATCACTATTTTCGTACTGGATCGACAATATTTTGATTGACTTATCGAACGCTGAACAACTGCTACAGGAAAGCCGAGCGCTGAAGAATGTGCACAATGATTTTGGTTTAATTTAGGTAGGCTCTCGCTGTCCGTCACTTCTACAGCAAAGCAACACGTACTATATACAGTTAGGCTTTCGCCACTAATGTGCAAGCTGTCTGCAACCCAGCTATACATCAAACAGCGCAAACTAAAAGTCCTGCTCACTATCTTCTAGCATTTGCCACATCGCCAATTAATATTAATAGTATTACAGGAGAATATACAATGTGGTGAGTTATTATTAGTGCCACTTTGATGGAATCATGCGCTATGCAGTGATTCCGAGTATCGTGCAATTGATGGATCTTACTAGGATGCTGTTTAAGGATGGTACTCCTCCAAAGTGGCGTGCACAACTGCGCACGCGACGACTAATCCTTGGAGTGAAGATTTGGGTGGAATGAGGAAAGCAGCGCATGGGATCAAACGGTGAACGTTGAGGGTTGTGCATTTGCAGCTCGGAGGTGAGTTGACTACGACTTTGTGGCAGTTACTTCATTTTCTCACATCTATGCTGGCTTGCCAACTTTCTGTGGCATAAGGGCCACCCCTGGATCTCTTTTCTCCCTGTGCTCTCTCATTCCTGTTCGTAATCTAGGGATGGTGTTATATTCTCCGCGTAAAAACTACGGATCTTGAATCAGGTTGTCACAATTGATGCAAATAAAGTATGGTGCGCTTTGTATCAGTTCTGTCCTTATGGTTTGATGTCATCCTTATAATATGAATAGCCAATGACTGAGGTGGAGGGCTAGAAGATGAGGAGGTGGCCCATGCTTAGGAAACGGAGGAGCAGGGCATTGAAAGGTGTGCTTGAATGGGTTGTACAGGTGAGTTATCTGTCTACTTCGTCTGGACCTTTTTTACATTCTAACACAAGCCCACCTCATTGAACGGCCTCGGAGGTGCTTTCACATTCAGGCCTGCGAAGCAAAGACTGCTGATGCCCATCGAACGCCATTGAGATAGTAAGCTTTTTCCAAGGTCACATCACACCAAGACCGTTGTTGGGCGAAGTTGTGGATTTAGCGTAGAGGGGTGTGCCTTTGCAGCTGTGTGGCCGAGGTGAGTAATTGTACAATCCAGTACCCTAAAATTGAGGCTCGTTGAACAGGCTGTACGACGTCAGCCAGTCCCAGCGCTATCTTAATCTAGAGATGATATTGTATCCGAATCCACCAGATATCAATCTCATAATCTCAATTATGGTGTATCCGGCTGTGCAAACCGACACTTGTCACCACAGCAGGTCGAATAGCGTGTCTCTGGCTGTGAAAACTGTCACCACTGCGCCAACACCACGTTGCAAATTGAAGATTTGCACTAGCCATTTTAGCATCCCTATGAGACATAAGTCCGATCATCAAGGCAGAGAAGCAAGAAGGTGTGCATGTATGTTGAAGTTCTTCAATCTCTTGCGGTGTTCAAGTATTCTACCCTCACGACTGCTTCACGACCAACAATTATGTTGAAAGCCTGGATTGTTCATCTGTCTCAATTTACTTGGGCCAATTAAAGCAAGAATGGTCATCAACCCTGGATCTCGTTTCCACGATCAAAGCACTGGATGGTAGTATAACTAGCAGGAATGCCATCGCCACAGGTCCACCTCTCACCCACACCCATTTTCTACCATTATGGCCACAGTCTCAAATGATCCCACTTGGTGGCCGATCGTCAATTCATATCGTTTGGGCAGCTATTTTGTAGGTTCGTGGAGAGCAGTCGTATGTTGAAGTTGACTCAATCTAACCTTGGCTGTGGTTTTGCAGTTGCCGCCTTTGTTGCAGTGATGTATGATTGGGGTGAGCATGATAACATCAAAGGACTGCTGATATCTTACACGTATTCTTAGCACTTACATTTGGACAAGAGGCATGTCGATGGTATGACCGGAGCAGCCATCTCGCTGAGAATGGCTTCATAGGTGGAACTGATCTGGGTAAGTAGAGTCTGGTGTCAGGGAAGCACACGTGAAAATACACTTGATTTCAGAGACAACGCTGGTCGGTAATGACAATTCTGTATCTCGGTGTATGTACTAGCTTGTTGCGGTTGCCATGCTGTGCTGACTTGAAAGTATGCTAGGTGCGATACCTTGGAATCTTATCTGCTACGTATGTTCAGAAGGATACACAATCGGTGTTGTGCTAATCAACTATTTCTCATTATCAGCCTGTACATGGTGAGTATGTCTCCTTGGTGTATTCACCATCTTCACTTCTTCTGACCAACGACATTCAGGCAATGTTCCGACCATCTCGTTGACAGATACAGTGAGTCTTCTGTACAGATGCCTAGTACTATTCCCCTACAATTGACCGTGGTGCCCTGTAGCAGTGGGTGTGGTTCTTTACTAACTTATTGGTTCACTAATGACTGCCGTGCTATACTGCCACAGATGTGAGTCTGTTTGGAGTGTGTGTTACCCGAGGCTGGTCACTCACTGGATTCGTCAGGCTTTATTATATACATCGTACAGAATTGGATGGTAATTGTGGTATTTGCGATGCTGTGGGGTGAGCCTTGCAGTTGCGAGACCTTAGTGATATCCACTTCACTGAAAAAATACTGCAAGTCATCATCATCGCTCGGTTGTATGCCATGTATCAAGGATCCAGAAAGATCCTGATATTTCTCGTTTTCACCTTCCTGGCTGACAACATTTTCGACGCAGTAGTCGCCATAATGACAACGATGTATACTTCAGGGGGTACGTTCAATTGTGGTTGAAAACAAACGTGCATGGGCCTTATTGACGGATACCAGAGGAACTAATTCTCTTGGGCACTTATCAGTGCCAGATTAACTATGCGGAAGATATCATACTTCTAAATTCCATTACTTGGATACTCGCCACTGTGTGGGAGGTCCTCACGCTATGTCTCGCAGTCTGGATTGCGGTAGAACATTTCCGTGAACTGCGACAACATTCAGCAGGGGGGATTATCGAGGACTGTTTCACGGTGTTGATGAAAACTCATCTGGTTTACTTTGCGAGGTAGTGGTTGTTCTTTTTTTTCCATTGATGGGTCGGACGTGGTAGCTTTGTTGCTGTTTCTTGCTTCCATCTCATTCTCGAGTTCTCTCCAACATTCTTAACGGTATGTCAATCTTTCACTTGCCTATGTACGCTACCACAATTTATCGTTTCTATAGGACATTGCCCTGGACATTCAGATTATTTTTGGTTTTGTTCAGATTTTGACAAACGTGCAGATGTTTGTGCTAGGGCCGCGCCTGATCATTGGCGTTCGAGAATACCACGCTAAGCTCGTTGCCGATGCCGACGCTGCGACTGGCATGGCCTCAATCGCTTTCCAGGAGCGTGTGCATATATCGACTGGCAGTGGTGTGTAATGCTCGGTGAAGTTAATGGCTACCTCGTACTTTAAAAGAGCAGGGGATTTTGTTTCTATTTATTACCACTCTCTTGCAGTATTGATCTAAGTTATTTGGTGTTCCGAAGCAGATTTTAAGGAGACATACAAAGTTTTTGTCGTAGTGTTTAGTTAGGTGAATCAGTGATTTGCTGTATGTGCTGAGTCTGCTGACAATGTTTAAACCAATATACTGGATGGTTCTACTGGAACTGGCTGTCCACGTGCACTTACACCACTGGTCCCTTTTTTCTTTATGTGATGGCAATCATTGCTATGATTGCTTGGGCAAATGAGCGCGCGAGTGCTCGCGAAGCTGTGATTTTAAGGTTTTTGGCTTACGCAACTGGTAGCGAGCCTTCGGCATTCTGCGAACGCACTGCCACTCCAACATCTAAACGTTAACCCGTTCTGTGACTACCACAATCCCTTAACTTTTATTTTATGTTGTATCGTTGTCCCGAAAGAAGCCACTCACTATCGATTCACTCAACAGAAATTGACACGTTGCCATGCTGAGTCGGTTCTGCTGATGACTTCTATGACTCCAGATATTTCTGAGCTTGGGTGGGTGAATTTAGAAGATTAAGTGCTGTTGTGCAGTCCGATTAATCTGGTCATAGTGCGAAAATTTAATGGGCATCTACTTCAAGTTCATTAGTTGTGAGCAATGTACTTGTACTTATGTATCCTTCTAACCTTGCGCGCACTCACTGCGCAAGATCGACTCGGAGTAGGCGCTCGGACTCGGAGCAAGTTTGGATCTAGGAATCCCTCATGCGGCACCCTGCTTACATCGAACTATATGGAGACTCGCTGTCAAGTCCATTGTGATTCGTTAAAGTCATACATGTGCGTATATACACGTATCTATCGTGGGCCAAGAGAAAAGTGTTTCAATGGGGCTCATTACAAGACAAGCTTGGAGCACGACATTCGTCGCAAACAACAAAGTCTAGACCGTTTCGGCCTCACCCGTGTCATACCCGATGTGTTCGTCCAGAGTGACACTATTTTCGTACTGGAACGGCATTTTGATTGACTTGCTGAACAACTGCTACAGCAAAGCTGAGCGCTTCAACGCCGAAGGATGTGCCGAATGGTTTTGGTTTAATTTAGGAAGGCTCTCTCTCGCTGTGCGTCACTTTTACAGCAAAGCAACCTTTACACTATATACAGTTCTTTTTTTGAATAATGCGCTCGAGAAAAGCTCTGCTGATGACTCGACCTTACATAAAAAACGTAACATCTTTGAGCGGCAGCTGCGCTGATGGTAATATGATATGAATATTACAATTACTCGGACTGGGAGGATTAGTATTTAGTAGTTTAGTGATTAAGGAGGTCGTGGCGATGAATGTGCCACAAGGGTGATGATGAAACTTTGAACAAAGTTTCCCTATTATCCCCACTCCAATACTTGACGCCCGTTTTCCAGGAGAAAGTCTTGACTAGCTATATAATATAAATCATAAATGAGAATACTCATATGACAATGGGGACACGATTTCACTACAAGCTCATGCTGTGACATCGTTAAATTATCTGTACTGCCAGCGATTATGGCAGGAGTAATTTATATATATACTTCCAACTAGTTCTCACGCGCTACAACTTTATCAAGGGGGCGATGCAAACTTGATGCAAAGTTTCAAACCCACCTAAACACATTAATCATGCTCACGCGTCTCATAGACAGGAGTCTAGTAATCACTTCAAGCTCAACTGCCCTTACTAGCGGCTTAGCTGCTTATCGGTGCTGTGTTCCCCCTTCCATTATATATAATATGTGTTAGCATCTCCTTGTCAGTATGGGAAGCCTATCCACATCTGCACTGTTCTTAACGCCATGGTTCCGTCCTATTCCGCTAAGGTATCCTCCGAAAACATGGAATGCTTTCGTACTATGACTGAACCTGGCCTTTACAGCTTTATGTGACTACTGACAAAACAGCACTCGCCGAAGAACAACCCCTCCCCGAAGCCCTCTGTCGCACGTCCCTTTTAACGAGGGTACTCTGTTTTTTGGCACTTGGACGCCCAGAATTTGATGATCATTGGAAGTCGCTGCAATCAGACCAAGCCTTCGAAACCATTAGGAGCAGGTCATGCTCTATTCTGGCCAGCACTATCACCACAGTAAGCTGTCCAACTCCATGCGAGCTCAAGCCCATATTAACATACTCCAAAAAGGCAACTGTCCTCCTCGCTACAAGTGTTGTTTTCGTCAGTACGGCCTCTCCTGTGTCATACTTCAACTATACGTCACCCACTCCCTATTGTCTGCTCTTTGTATCGCTCATGCTCGCCATCATGGCGATATTGACATCCGGCTCAAGTATGATACGCTGGCTACACACTGATCGGCAGTGGACTCAAGAAGTAAGTTTATTCTCGCCATACTGGCTACACAACCTGACCTAAATGATATGGTCAGCAACTCAAGCCGGGCGGCTACTTCGTCTTTTCCTACCTGTTGTCAATAGTCACGCCCATATTCTTCGTCGCCTGGTCCCTACATTGTTTTATCTTTGGTGAGTTGTTCCATCATTCGAGGCTCTCTCTGGTCCCTCATGTATTTCACCCCCAGCGATGTTGCTAGCGGGCTTTTGCTCCCACAGCACGATCTACCGCATAGTAACTGCACTCTGGCTTGTTGCGTACGTCGTCAATATCGGAACGATATTGATGCAATCTATGTGGAAGTATACGACATTGTAATCTCAATGGGCCATGCTCGATATCGTTGATATTTTCCACTTTGCTCCTTCTCCTTGTCTTACTCGTGCTTTGTCTATGTTATATATAATCTCTCTGATGTGGCGCGCACCTGTGAGGTGTGCTCAAGATGTAGTTGAGTAAATATGTGCAGTCTATGGCTTTCAGTTGTACCAATATTTCAAGAGCGCCTTAAGCCTTATCGAATCACTATAGGTCTACGAGTCACTACATCCGACATTTTACGTCGTTGATGCCACCCTAGCTGAACCCCAGCTGAACCAACAGCACCGAATCTATGCGAAGTCTATCAGATTTTTGATGACTGAGCTTTGCGAGATATATACTACAACGCAACGAAATGCAAGTCCTGCTGTATCGTAAAGGATAGACATCAGGACGTGTCAATAAGGATGTAAACGTATCCAAAGCAGTGATCACCGTTCAAACAAAAACCCAATGAGGCGTCGCAACCCGGACTCCAAAGCGCAAAAAATCTTCATCAGCATCCTCATCCGTAGGCACATTCCCTTCCGAGTCAGGGATATCCATCACCTCACCAAGCGGAACGACCGCTTCTGCCCACGCCGGGACACTCTCGGGGTGTTTTGGGCGTGCCTGTAGCTCTTCAAAGTCATCTACGATGGGAGGTGCGTCACGGGGTAGTCCTCTCATAATGAGGCGGTTGTATGCTTTCTCCATGATGTAACATAGTCCAGCCATAATGGCGTATTGAAGTGCCTCGTCTGAGTTGGTAGCAGAGCCTGTATTGGGTTTATCAGTAGGGTATGGGTCAGGGAGGGCCGAGAGTGCCCATGCGGGCTCAGATCGCGTCCAGAAGTATTCGAGCTCGTTGCGGAACTGGACTGTCCAGTCTATGACAAAAAACTGATAAAGGCGATAGAAAGATGCGGAAGGTGTATCACTAGGTGAAGGAGAAAGGAGTGGGAACATTCGATGGAGCAGAGGTCGAGAAACGAGAGAATGCCGCCATGACATGGGTCTTCGAAGTGGATACTTCTGATGGACTACAGTGCGGTCTGCAAGGAGCCTTGAAGGTGTTGGAGGGATGGGTTCGCGCAGACTAAACAGAGATTTAATAATAGAAGTGCAGAATTGAATTGCTTGAGGGCTAGAATTAACTCACCTCTGCGCCTGACTGTCTGACATGGGTAAAGCTGGCACTGGCTAACTTATCGTTTCGAGCGGAGGAATATGCTGGCGTAGAAACCCCTCAATTCAGAAAGGGGTAGACCTGAGGCCTAACAACCATAAACTAGACTTGCCAGGGGAGCACCACAGGGTTATATACCTGATCAACCGTTGAAAGGAAGAGACTGACTCTGACTCAATGAGAAGTGTGAAATTTCCCTTGTCTCATAAAAGTATAATGCGAGGACAGATCGTTTTCTGGGGATGATACAGTTTTCTGCTCGCAATATGCAATCTCGCTAATGGCAGAGGAGTCAGTTATAAGAGACAAACTTGAATAGACTCGGACGAACTTCACTTGCGCAGTTACGTAATATTAGTCACCAGCGGCGAGCGCCTAGCGCTCGAATCAGATCGATTCAAAACGGGCGTGAGCTGAACCTTTTCAAACGAGCATGTCTGGCTCCTAGCTAGCCATGGCAGCTGTTCAAGTTGAATCCTAACCTTTGTCTAGCCTTGAGGCTGTATAGTCGTCTCAGCCGATAACTGCCACGTCATTCGTTTTCTCCCGTTCGCACCATATGCATGTCACCGTCAGACACTCACAACTTAAACACCGACATATGTGCTCTGATACCACCCAGTGATATCCTCATTCACGCCTGTGATGACGAGGCTTACACCATTGAAGTGCACGGTGGTACGTTCAAAATATTTAGCAGCTCATTCACTTCGCAGCACGGCAATGACGCCTCTCATACCCACGTTTGGATGCCACTGACTCTCTGACAGTCCCAGCCGTTAGTCTGTAATAACAGACGATACAATATATATTCTCATTACTCGTGGTCCTCAATACAGTCATTTCGACTTCACTGGACTTGGTTGCTGGGCCCTACTTGCACGTATGTGGGAACTCTGCAGGAGACAGCCCCCAGTGCTTCATGGTTCGGACACATTTACGGTCGTCATGGAATATGCTCTGGAATCCTGCTTAGTCAATTTGAGAGGACGTTGTGCACGTGAAAGGGGGTTGGATCTATACCATGTGCTTGCTGTGGGCGATGGTTTAGGGTATACGAGATGACAGCATGAGGACTGCTGCTGTCGATGCCTCTATTATGTGAGGTCTACGTGACCGTGATGTATGGTTTCCCGTTGTCGTCGATATATAAGAACTTGACGTTTTGTAGCAACTGGTGCACTTACCAGAACTGACACAACATCATCCACTTCTACCTACGATGTCAGCCTCCCGAACAGTCAACCATATATTCTTGCTCGGCTATATCCTGTACACGTCGGTCGCATAACCTAGATCTAGGTGAAGCTCTTTCTGAATTTACAGGTCTTCTCTGGTTAACTTGCGTTTTGGTGACATCGTGATATATACTCTGGCTAGTAAGCACCTACTGGTTGTCATCTCTTTACATTTTCGTGACACATTTCTAGTATGCGTTCCATTGCCAGCCATCGCCCCGCATTATGGCATATAATTGGGCTTTTGCAGTTGCCATGACAGATACACAACCTACTTATAACATTCAAGCCATGGACGCAGTCTAGTTATCGGCCTCGTACCAGTTCCCTCCATCGATCGAGAGCCACGATGAGACCGCCTACGTCTCCTTACAGCTAGGGTAGCACTCACAACGGAAAACTTCGTTTTAGGTGGACTTCCACCATTTATATACTACTTCGACACAGCTTTTCTTATCGAACGCAGACAGTTCGCATTGTGTTATGGACCATATATGTGCACGGAGCAACCGAAACTTGACTTTTTGGATATCGACCTGAAAGTGAGTTCCCGTCGTATTCGCATTAACTACTACCGCGTTGAACTTGTCATTCAGCTATCCATGTTTTGTATTGCAGCACGCACCTTTGAATGGACTGTTCCGACGGAACCCTTTATTCGTGTGGCTCGGCGATCGTCAACCGACGTACCAAAGCAAAATTTTGTTCTCGACACAATTGATTACGACTGCAGATGTTCTTGGCCGATGAGCCGAGCTCGAAAACATCACCCGATGGACACAGTCCGCCATGAGGGAATCGATGCCAGTGCGTCGCAAACTCGTGATGTTTGCACGTCTCGCGACGTATGAGTTTTGTCATCCATGCTACGTGGACACTGGAGACGGTAAGCAATATGCACAAGACACTGCGGTTGACATCACGTATAATTCAGAAAGATAATCCATCGATAACCTATTGATGATGGTCAACGCAGCACTGTCACACTTTTGGATTTCCTACCCGTGGGTACCCAATTCTTGCAGCGTACCCGTACTCGTGCGGGTGGGCCAAGCACAGGTACGCCCGACCCGCGATTCACCCGCGGGTGGTGCCCGGGTAAGTCTTATCTATGTCACATAGTTACAATATAGCAAACCCACAAGTTCACTGATCTCATGTTAGGTTCCGCCTGTTTCGTGCCCTATCATTTGCAGTGGATCATATACTTTTAATACTCGCAACCGCAGCGATATCGCAAGGAGTTTCCCCTCAAATCATTCGTAATTTGATATGGCTACGACAAAACCATGTTTTGTGGTTTGAAAAGTCATTTCTTTCACATGCATTTCTGGAAACCGCAACTCCCTCCGACGTCTGCTCAGTACCAGCTCTACTCGCTTCCAACAGTCAGTACCAAAGCTGATCGCGTACTCAGGAAAAATAGCAAAACGTTCGAACGCGCTAGACGAAGTCATAAGGATGATTGAACAAAGGGATGGTATCATCCCGGGGAGGCTTTACTTTCAACAATGTCAGCAAGAGTAGTCGTCGTGATTGTGCGCACCTAATCCGTGAGATTCCCCAAAAAATTTACTTTTCATTGCAGTGACTTTGGCTAATGTGTGGCTGCCATCAGCTGCAATCGGTGATGGCTGCGATAGCATGATAAGCTGCTGAAGATCCAAAATCTGCACATGCACCCACAAATGTGCTGCGCCCAATGCGTATTCTTATTTGCACCGTAGCCTCAGCTTGTTCTCGACCCAATATGGGTCCTCATCGTGGTTTTATCATTTGGTTTTACATCTATCACTTCGCGACAAGCATCAGAAATTGAGCAATCGCAATCGAGGCTGTTGTTTGAAGGTATCAAGAATAGCGGTCTATTCGGTCAGTGCTCGGATGCAATGACGCTGCTATCTGACTTATTGGAAATCGAAATGGCACTCACTTTTGGTCAGATCACCATGCATCATCGCATGTACACAACATTGTTTTGCAAATTCGGTTCTACTTATTCCATTTCATTCCATTCGGCACTATTTGAGCCTGCAGATAGTCACCCATTCACCTTATAAGGAATATTCATGTTCCAGGCCGTTCAGGGACGCGTTGAAAAAACGTGTTACACTGTACCAGGAAGGCCCTTGCCGACTGTCTATTTCACATACCGTGCTCTCCGGAAGCGCGATAGCAAAGGTTATCACTTCATCTGTCGCGTGACATAAGATTGTGGTGAGTGCAACACAACTTAAGGACTAGAGGATATGCGCTCATGCTTTCCTGTTGGCAGAAAAACCTAAAGGGAGACGGTCTTTGCATGTGCGAGGTTGCGAGCTGACATTAGATCCAGACTACACAGTTCATGCCAGCAGTGCTCATACTGAACCGTCGCAGCTTTCCACAAATGCGTACATCGCCTGACAGCCGATTCCAGCTCAATCCAACCTGTCACGATGTGCGCTTGCTCGGAGATGTACAAATTTTTGTCTCGTGCTGTCTAGCATGTGGAAGGAAAGTAGTCTATCTTCTATGCCCAGGCTTTTCAGTAACCAAGCCAATCAGCAGGTTCGAATACCCCGCGCGGCTCACGAGACACATTTTGACTTTCTCCTTCATTTGGCGATGTGTCTTCTCTCCATCTCTAGCGGCGATGTCATAGGATATGACTACACACGACCAAAATGCGAACGGGGATCTCATACCTTACGGTATCAATTGTGACAGGGTGACTCATTGAGGCCGCTCGAGCCAAGAGATGTGCGATCGAAAAGTTCATGGCGTCAACCTGATTCCAAACCACCGTGTTCTTAATCACTCACCAATCCAATCCAACCGCTACTCTCAGCCTCGTTTGACCATTGTGGTAGGTTTCACCTTCTGAATGTTCCTGTAGTAAGTATCATTATCTTCTATGTCATTGGCTGGAATTGCAAATACACTCTAACCTGGGCGCAAAGGTCCCAGGAAACGTGGCTACATTCGTTTGCGGGGTGTATGATCTAAGCAATGTATCATCTATAACCGGAACAACGCTTTTGTAAGTGGTATTTTTATGTAGCCGTTTTTTGGAAACTCTAAACCATTTTGAGGATATGATAACAGCCCCGTTGGTCCTCAAGCAATCAATGATCCCAGTGATATAGTATACTGCGGGAGCACTAAAGACCTGATATCCGTTTCTTCTCCGGAAACTCTCGGTTGGGCAGTGCGTCAGCAAGGATCGATGGTTAATCTTCAAGACCGACCTTACTTGGCTTTCTAACTCAAATAAATTTATGTGCAGTTCATTGATTTGCAATTTGGGGTCACTTTTGCCCCAGTCCCAGGCACGTGCTACGCCAGATCATCCGTTGGCCCCGTTAATCCCCACTGACTTGCCTGTTTCCAGCGTTTTCGTATTGACATCAAGTTTAAATCCCCAAGACGCCGTCACTCTCCGTCTGGGTCAAAATTGGGCAATGGCTAGGCCTTGCTTAGTTCCGTCCCATTGTAACTCGGCCCGTATCCATGATCGTATTTCTGCTAAGAGGGATGTAGGCACTGAAAGATTCACGTGTTTCACAATGCTTCTTCAGCGGTCCCATGAACAACAGGTCTGCCAGCTGATGCTGACAACCATGTCCATCTCGTCGACGAATACGTTAAGTTTCCTTATACCGTTTCATTACGGATCCCCCATTGCGCCATTGCTTGACGTCTCCGTGTCCATGTGAATAGTGGACTTTCTGCTTTCCTGTTTAGATCATCCCCGTCGAGATCACACTTCATCAGCGGGTTGGATTGTATTATAGAACACTACAGAGCGCTACAGAGCGCTTTGTAGCACTTTGTAGTGAATTACGTTTTCCTGATGTTAACTGACTGCTCTCGTTCAGGGAAACGTATACTAAACTCTCAGTCCGGCGTGACAGTGTGAGAATGCCGATCTGAATATGGAACTCAGCAAAGTGTCTCTATTTCGCGGGAGGAATCGGAAGGCGAAATGTATTGGTGTGACATTTCCGCCGCCCTAGAACTTATCCCCTGGGCCCTGGATCTGCTGACCACCGCAATGATTTAACATACATCAGGAAAACGTAATTCACTACAAAGTGCTACAAAGCGCTCTGTAGCGCTTTGTAGTGTTCTATAATACAATCCAACCCGCTGATGTATACTGTTATGTACGTAACGGCGCTCGGCCGCGTCAGTCCCCGACGCATTTGTATAAATTTTGAATCTGACATGCGAATTTTGGCTGTGAAATATGTACTTGATCGCCACAGGATTCTTCGTGAATGAGATGTTTGGTGACCAGCATGCCCAGTAGGGCAATTTTTATGGGAAACCCAACCTTTTGAGAATTGTTTCTCCTGTCCAACACTCACACTGGCGGCCTAGCTCTTGGACTGGTGGCTCCTACATAAATTTGATAACCTCAATTTCCTTCTCCACATTGGTCCAACACTTGTGTGACTACCGAAGGACGGTGGCCGTGCGCATTCTGTGCAAGCTATGTAGTATGGACTGCCAAGTATGTGACTTCACATTGGGTAATGCACTTACTAATAGAAACAGTTCCTATCCTCTATGCACTGACACACGATTGCCAACGACACAATAGTCACAGGAGCATCTGCGTATACCGTCAAAATGGCAGAGTATTTGGTAGCATCAGAGGTGAGGAAGGTGCCATACTCTCAGGACATCCAATGCAATATAATACTATGTAGATGATAACCTTGGAATCTGAACTCTAGTCCAAGTATGATGAGCATAGAGAGTTAAGACAGTCTGATCCATATATCATCGGCAACGGTAACCAATAATAATCACTGGTGACCGGTGACGGTCGGGGATAATTTTGCAGACATAGATTTACCCCAAAATGAGTACAGAAGTTACGCACTTTATGTGCAAAAAATGATGGTTCAACTGAGGGTCGAACTCAGGACCTTCTGTGTGTAAGACAGAAATCATAACCACTAGACCATTGAACCGACGAACATTTTGTAAAATCCTGCGTCATGTCCTTTAAACTCCATAGGTTGAATCTACATCGATTACTCACTTCGCTTCCTTTAGTCTTGACAGTAACGTATGCGGCAGGTCCAGGGGCATCGACATCCGTTAGACGCATTGAAACGGAGGTACAGACCCGCTTGAGAAAACTGGGTTCTAATACACAGGATCCACTGTACTGGAATCCCGGTGACGGGTCCCCATTTTCCCCAGGTAATTGTTGTTGGGGGGAATCGGCAACAAATTTTCCAACTCTCAGCTTGGCACTCATTCGACCACTCTCTTTATCAAGAACCCTAGACGGGAGCTTCACCCGCTGTTAAGAGTTTGTTCTATCCTGGCGATCATATCTTGTGCCAGCGTCACTGGTGCATGAAAGCTTGTGGACTTATCGTCAGCTCGTGAGTACTTCGGTCCGACTATCTCATATTCGGACGTTCTCACAAGAGTAAGAATGCTGTCACCTTTGATGGTGCTCTGCTGGCTCTACTCTGGTGGAGGTCAGCGGGCAGGTGTTCTAGCTCAACCTGTTCAGCATGCCGAACGGCAGGTGGGCCATACTTCGCCAGCCATACTTGCAGATCCTGGTCTTATAGGTGTCATTTTAACTTCCTCACCTGCTTCATCACCTACAACCTCATCTACCATCTCCTCATCTACTTCGTATCCCATGACATCAACGGCCAGCGCACCGATTCCTTCATCGACATATAGCCAGTTCTCGATTAATGCTGTCAAGAATATGACGACATGCGCTCCGGGTATCATCACCTGGACCTATAACGGTTCATCACCCAACATTTTTCTCTCTATCACGAACGTCAATGTCCTTGATCCCGATCCACCGCGTAATCTCACCCGCCGCCAAAATACTGCTAAACATATATCCGTGACATTAACAAACACTAGCGCCATCTTGGACAACTGGATATGGCCTCAAGTAGACCAGCCACAGGGCTGGTATGCCATACAAGGCTCTATAGCTTCGCTCGACGCCTCTTCTGCTGCTTTTTTCATTAGTAATGGATCCGACACGGCTTGCTTGCTCTCGTCCTCATCTTTATCGCCAGGACCCACTAGCCCTGTAACCGTAGTGGATACCTCATCAGTGACATCCGGTGTTGGCAAGATCGTGGGGATCGTGGTCGGTAGTCTAGCAGGGCTGATTGTTCTTGTTTTGGCTATCGCATATTACCTTTGCCGCCAATGTTGCTCTCCAAATCGTGGCAGCAAGCCAAAGCAAAACGTGGGAAGAAGGTGGAGTTCGCTGAAATCTAATGACTCAGCTGCCAGGTCACCAGTGGAGGGCAATGGTGACTCTGCTTGCTCCCGCGGTCATTCGGAGTCGATGGGTGAAATATTCATTGTCGCAGATAGTGGCAAGGAGGTCTCAGAGACCACAACACCACAGGGTTCAGACGAATATCATGAAGGTGTTGGGGAGGAGAAAGAAACACACCCTCACTCGCCCAGGGGAATGATCTCTGTGGACACTATCCATAATCCCTTGTCGCATTATAATCGCCGCATATCTGTTCACTCCCTTCAAGATTCATATTCCTTTCCAGATCCATATGTCTGTGGTGACGCTGGTCGCACCCATATCACCTCTGCGCACTATTCGAAACAAAGCTTCGAGCTGCAAGCAGCTAGAATACGATCGTCCATGGAAAGCTCCGTATACCTGCGTACCGAGCGCTTTTCATTCCCAGCTCCAGCTGCCTCCACTCCGCACACACCCACATCTCCTAGCCGAGGGCGGGACGAGTACCCACCTTCTCC